ATATATATATATATATATATATATATATATAACAGCCAGGTAGCTTGCAAATGTGTATGTATGTGTGTGTGTTTTGAGGGGGGCGGGGTGGGGCTTCGACCCTCTATCATAATAGGTAAACTACGTGCAACCCCCATTTATAAATAATCTGCAATCACATTTGCACAAAGACATTTTAGAATTAGAGAATATATGATTCATTTCAAATCCGTTATAGAGGCACTTGTATAGATCAGTAGTCTATAACCCAGCCCCTCCCCTCCCCTTTCCCGCCTCGCGAAAGAGAAGGTTTCTGGTCTTTGCCCTTTGTCTCTGGTTTAACCATTCTTGCGATTTCAAGAGCCTAAAACAGAGCACATCCCATATACACCGTTTAAACTCAGTCTAAAAGAGAGAGAAAAAAAAATCCCATATACTCCGTTCGATTTCAGTCTAAAACAGAATAAATCCCATATACTCCGTTCAATTTCAGTCTAAAAACAGAATAAATCCCATATACTCCGTTCAATTTCAGTCTAAAACAGAATAAATCCCATATACTCCGTCCAGACTCAGTATAAAACAGAACAAATCCCATAAACCCCGTTCAATCTCTAAGGAGAATACCATTAGGGCGCACGTAACAACTACACCAGGTCACGGCCTGCTGTAACTGTCTGCCCTGTGCCGGTAGCGAGTTCTCTCTGTTTCGATTCGCCACTGGTGGTGGTCACCAATAAGCTGGGAACCATTGCTGTAGATGATTGTTTATTTTTCTCTGCCCCGATCAACACACAGTTTTGGTGTATTCTTTATACTGCCTACTTTTCGGGATTTTGTTTTAGAAAAGTTCACATGATTGAGCGTTCTACACTGGTATATTTTGGAGCGGTAAAATCACACTGACGCAAACATCAGGTATTCATACGTGGTGACTCATATGTGCACTATGTGTGGGTGAGTCAAGGCCTTGGAAGAGGAGGAGCTGGCATTTTAATCAAATACAATATTTTGATAAGTTAAATGACAAGTCAGCTGCTGATAAGTTGTGTACAGAAAACTAAAACGAATTCTGCAACATACAACATCAAGAAAACAAAACAACGGTGGAGAAAGAAAAATAGAAGTGAAAAGTAGAAAAGTAGAAGTGAAAAAGAAGTGGAAATATCTATAACATGTAAAATAAAAATAAATAATACATAGCTTCTTCCCAACCAAATTAATACCCACTGGCTGTTACTGCACACGTGGAGTACATCTCAACAAAAGCACAACGTGACACATTAAATTTACCAGAACAAAAAAAGAAAGAAAATGACAACACGATGCCAGACACAGGAACTTTATACCCAAGCAGATCATCTCATACCCAAGCAGATGATCTAACTGGGTGTTTCTCAGCCGTGTTACATCTGCGGGCCACCCAAACAGGGAGAAACTGTTTCGCGGCTCAAAATAAAAAAAGACATGTTAGATGGCAGTTTATTTGTTAAATCCGATATCATTAAATTACATTTTTTCAGCTAATGTAACAGCTGAGAGGTTAAAAAAATATGATATACTTGGCTGGGGCATTAATTCTGTGAGACTGAGAGCTGCAGTAACATTAATTCCATTTTTATGTTACTATTGACACAAGTGAAAAAGTCTTTTCATACAAATAGGAAACCGGGAAAAAAAAAAACACGACCAACAATCTGAATTTCTATAACAGAGACAAGCATTTTCCCCCGAGTAATATGTCAAACTGGGACAATGATTGCATTTTATGTCTGAACAAAAGACTGACATTAGAGACACATCGATCAGTTTTTCTTGTTCATGATAACCAGTTCATATCTAACGTCTTTAAATACTGACTTGTTATATTGCATACCACTGACTTGTACCGGTTTAATTCTCATCCTTGAGGTGTTATCCTACAGACTTCAATCCCGGAATAGTAAATACTACCTGTCCTGGGCAGACACTGTTAGATGATTGGGCAGACACTGTTAGATGATTGGACAGACACTGTTAGATGACTGGGCAGACACTGTTAGATGATTTGGCAGACACTGTTAGATGATTGGACAGACACTGTTAGATGATTGGGCAGACACTGTTAGATGATTGGACAGACACTGTTAGATGACTGGGCAGACACTGTTAGATGATTGGACAGACACTGTTAGATGATTGGACAGACACTGTTAGATGATTGGACAGACACTGTTAGATGACTGGGCAGACACTGTTAGATGATTGGGCAGACACTGTTAGATGATTGGGCAGACACTGTTAGATGATTGGACAGACACTGTTAGATGACTGGGCAGACACTGTTAGATGACTGGGCAGACACTGTTAGATGACTGGACAGACACTGTTAGATGATTGGGCAGACACTGTTAGATGATTGGGCAGACACTTAGATGAGTGGGCACACACTGTTAGATGATTGGGTAGACAATGTTAGGTGATTGGGCAGACACTGTTAGATAACTGGGCAGACACTGTTAGATGACTGGGCAGACACTGTTAGATGACTGGGCAGATACTGTCAGATGACTGGGGAGACACTGTTAGATGACTGGGCAGATACTGTTAGATGACTGGGCAGACACTGTTAGATGACTGGGCAGATACTGTTAGATGACTGGGCAGATACTGTTAGATGACTGGACAGACACTGTTAGATGAATGGGCAGACACTGTTAGATGACTGGGCAGACACTGTTAGATGACTGGGCAGACACTGTTAAATGACTGGGCAGATACTGTTAGATGATTGGACAGACACTGTTAGATGACTGGGCAGACACTGTTAGATGACTGGGCAGACACTGTTAGATGACTGGACAGACACTGTTAGATGACTGGGAAGATACTGTTAGATGATTGGGCAGACACTGTTAGATGACTGGGCAGATACTGTTAGATGATTGGGCAGACACTGTTAGGTGACTGGGCAGATACTGTTAGTTTTTTTTCTTTTTTTTTTTTTTTTTTTCTTTTTTATTTTTTTTTTTTTTTTTTTTTTTTTTTTGTTGGACAGACACTGTTAGATCATTGGGCAGACACTGTTAGATGACTTGACAGACACTGTTAGATGACTGGGCAGATACTGTTAGATAATTGGGCAGACACTGTTAGATAATTGGGCAGACACTGTTAGATGACAGGGCAGATACTGTTAGATGAGTGGACAGACACTGTTAGATCATTAGGCAGACACTGTTAGATGACTGGGCAGACACTGTTAGATGATTGGCCAGACACTGTTAGATCATTGGGCAGACACTGTTAGATCATTGGGCAGACACTGTTAGATGACTGGGCAGACACTGTTAGATAAATGGACAAACACAGTTAGATGACTGGGCAGATACTGTTAGATGATTGGGCAGATACTGTTAGATGACTGGGCAGACACTGTTAGATGACTGGGCACACACTGTTAGATGACTGGGCAGACACTGTTAGATGACTGGGCAGATACTGTTAGATAATTGGGCAGACACTGTTAGATGACAGGGCAGATACTGTTAGATGAGTGGACAGACACTGTTAGATGATTGGCCAGACACTGTTAGATGATTGGGCAGACACTGTTAGATGACTGGACAGACACTGTTAGATGACTGGGCAGACACTGTTAGATGACTGGGCAGATACTGTTAGATGACTAGGCAGACACTGTTAGATGACTGGGCAGACACTGTTAGATGACTGGGCAGACACTGTTAGATGACTGGGCAGACACTGTTAGATGATTGGACTGACACTGTTAGATGACTGGGCAGACACTGTTAGATCATTGGGCAGACACTGTTAGATCATTGGGCAGACACTGTTAGATCATTGCAGACACTGTTAGATGACTGGGCAGAAACTGTTAGATGACTGGGCAGACACTGTTAGATGACTGGGCAGACACTGTTAGATGACTGGGCAGACACTGTTAGATGACTGGGCAGACACTGTTAGATGAGTGGGCAGACACTGTTAGATGACTGGGCAGACACTGTTAGATGACTGGGCAGACACTGTTAGATGACTGGGCAGACACTGTTAGATGACTGGACAGACACTGTTAGATGATTGGGCAGACACTGTTAGATGATTGGGCAGACACTGTTAGATGACTGGGCAGACACTGTTAGATGATTGGGCAGGCACTGTTAGATGACTGAGCAGACACTGTTAGATGACTGGGCAGACACTGTTAGATCATTGCAGACACTGTTAGATGACTTGGCAGACACTGTTAGATGATTGGGCAGACACTGTTAGATGACTAGGCAGACACTGTTAGATGACTGGACAGACACTGTTAGATGACTGGGCAACACTGTTAGATGATTGGGCAGACACTGTTAGATGACTGGGCAACACTGTTAGATGATTGGACAGACACTGTTAGATGACTGGACAGACACTGTTAGATGACTGGGAAGATACTGTTAGATGATTGGGCAGACACTGTTAGATGATTGGGCAGACACTGTTAGATGATTGGGCAGACACTGTTAGATGACTGGGCAGACACTGTTAGATGACTGGGCAGACACCGTTAGATGACTGGGCAGACACTGTTAGATGATTGGGCAGACACTGTTAGATGATTGGATAGACACTGTCACATATTCAGGGAGACATGTGTGGCGGCCTGACTGGGCTTTTCTGTAGCCCACGGGTTGAAGAACGCTGATCCAGTGAAAAAAATCCTCTGCATGCTGAACGACAGAAAACAGAGAGATAAAAGAGCGAATAACATTGGCACTGACACGATGCCAGGCTGGGTCAATTAAAAGAATGAAAACACTGCAGATGACACCTGACTGGGGCCATACCCTTCAAATCAGCAATTATCTGTGCCTGGCATGTGCGCATCTGCTGTTGTGAGGCACGGGAAATGGGCAGCAGCAGTCGAACAGCAATAACTATTACAGATCGTACAAGTCTTCTACTTGGGCAAGTGTTGCGCAGATGCTAGTTAACTTCTTCTTCTACCACCATTTATTCGTGTTTAAATAAGGTCAATTCTCCGCGTTCACTTTTCTGGAGTTTGATATGTATTTGCGTGAATGTATAATGTGAGGCTCGTGGTGTAGCTCTGCTAGAGGCTCGTGGTATAGCTCTGCTAGAGGCTCGTGGTATAGCTCGGCTAGAGGCTCTTGGTGTAGCTCGGCTGGAGGTTCTCGGTGTAGCTCTGCTAGAGGCTCGTGGTATAGCTCTGCTAGAGGCTCGTGGTGTAGCTCTGCTAGAGGCTCGTGGTGTAGCTCTGCTAGAGGCTCGTGGTATAGCTCTGCTAGAGGCTCGTGGTATAGCTCTGCTAGAGGCTCGTGGTATAGCTCTGCTAGAGGCTCGTGGTATAGCTCTGCTAGAGGCTCGTGGTATAGCTCTGCTAGAGGCTCGTGGTATAGCTCTGCTAGAGGCTCGTGGTATAGCTCTGCTAGAGGCTCGTGGTGTAGCTCTGCTAGAGGTTCGTGGTATAGCTCTGCTAGAGGCTCGTGGTATAGCTCGGCTAGAGGCTCGTGGTATAGCTCGGCTAGAGGTTCGTGGTGTAGCTCTGCTAGAGGCTCGTGGTATAGCTCTGCTAGAGGCTCGTGGTATAGCTCGGCTAGAGGTTCGTGGTATAGCTCTGCTAGGGGCTCGTGGTATAGCTCCGCTAGAGGCTCGTGGTGTAGCTCTGCTAGAGGCTCGTGGTATAGCTCCACTAGAGGCTCGTGGTGTAGCTCTGCTAGAGGCTCGTGGTATAGCTCCGCTAGAGGCTCGTGGTATAGCTCTGCTAGAGGCTCGTGGTGTAGCTCCGCTAGAGGCTCGTGGTGTAGCTCGGCTAGAGGCTCGTGGTATAGCTCGGCTAGAGGCTCGTGGTGTAGCTCTGCTAGAGGCTCGTGGTGTAGCTCGGCTAGAGGCTCGTGGTATAGCTCGGCTAGAGGTTCGTGGTGTAGCTCGGCTAGAGGCTCGTGGTATAGCTGGGCTAGAGGCTCGTGGTGAAGCTCTGCTAGAGGTTCGTGGTGAAGCTCTGCTAGAGGCTCGTGGTATAGCTCGGCTAGAGGTTCGTGGTGTAGCTCGGCAACAGGCTCGTGGTGTAGCTTGGCTAGAGGCTCGCCTGAGGATCGGAAGGTCGCTGGTGCGGGTCTTGACAGAGCCGAACTTTTGTCAAAAGTGATCTTGGCTACCAGGTCGACGCAGCCTCGAGTGGGCTCCAGGTAAAGTCCTGGGAAGTAAAGGCAGCCGACGTGACTCCTACCACATCACCCGCTGAGTGTCGACTGGTCTATAAAATATGGGTGTAGCCCTATATTTCAAACAGACGGAAGGCGTGGAAAAAGGTCCCTTTACTTTAGTCATTTTAGTCACTGTGTTATCCAGTGCTCTCTCTCTCTCTCTCTCTCTCTCTCTCTCTCTCTCTCTGCGTACGCCGTTAAAACGGCTAGTGACACGCTGTGTTAAGGTTTACCGCTAGGCTGCGATATCTGCGCTTTTCGGCTCACTACATCCGATTAAGGAAAACTCTTAACGAGCGGCCTCTGACGTTATGCTAGTTAATGGCTGTGGGTCTCTTCTCTGCCCCCCCCCCCATAAATGGGAACCCAGAACCCACATGGCGAGGTTCCAGGCAAGAACATTCTGGTCCCATTATTCAGGTCCTTCCAGGTGTATATGTGTAAGAGCACGCGCGCACAGCGGCAAAGTACGCGTAAATTGGGGCGAGTAAGTGAATGAATGTGTCAATGAATGAGCAAAGATACGATCCTTTCTTCAGAAAGAGCTCTCATCCCTGTATGTAACCAACAATAACGACATTTACAACCGCGTTTAGATGGCAGCAACTGACACAGATGAAACTTGTGCAAACAGGAAACCTGGTGAGCACACAGTGGCTGTTGATGTGGCTGCGCTTGTGGGTCGTTATCTGTGTGGCTATAAAGTCATCACACCAGAATATAGGCTTGTTCGACGAACTAACAAATAGAGGTTGGGGATGGGGGGGGGGGGGGGGGGGGGGGGGGGGGGGGGGTGGTTAGAGAGAGGTAGCAGTCAAGAGTAAAAAGATCGAGAGAAGATATATATAATATAAGAAGATAGAGAAGGAAGAATGTTCTAGGGCCTAGGCTGAGGTAGCCGTCATTGTTGTGATAGTAACAGTAGTGGCAAAAGCGGCGGCAGCAGCAGGAGAAGTACCAGCAAACGCAGCAGTAGCAGTGGTGGTGGTGGTGGCTGTAGTAGTGGCGTCGGCAGGCCATAAACATACCAACTTGAGAACTGACTCCTGAAATGCTGTAACTGGATAAATAATTTCCAAAGTACCATAACTCATAGAAAATGCACAGTTGTACTCATACACAAACGTTGACTAGTTTGATAAGTATATGTTAGTTATCAATTCACACAGAGTCCCGTGCCCTATGGATTTAAAATCAACATAACCTTGCTTCGGTTTGTTTACATACTTATAGCAAACTATTTGCTGTGGTTCAATGAATCTTTGTTAATTAGATGTCATGCTGTGAATTAAATTTTAGTAGGATTCTACGCACGTACCTTTGAAATAAAAAAAACAGGCGTGCCACAGGGATGTCCTTTGTTGTCTCTCCTATTTTTATTGGCTATAGACTGGATTATAAAGTCAGTAACTGCTAACACCAAGAATGGAATTCAGTGGACCCCTACAAAACAGCTTGATAATCTGGACTTCGCTGGTGATATTTCTCTTCTGTCCCATTCACAGAATCAGATGCAAGATAAATTAAATATACTGCTAGGTATATAAGTTAGGTCTGAAAATCCACGAAGCGCAAAGACAATGAGAATAAATCAGGCAAATAGTAATTTGCTTTCTCTTAATGGCACTTCACTCCAAGACGTGGAGTTGTACACATATTTAGGCAGTAATGTAAATAAATATGCGGGAACTGATAGAGATATTAAAATAAGAATAAAAAAGGCAAAAAGAGCTTTCATAGCACTGGGGAATTTGTAGAGGATCAAAAGAAAATAAAAGAAATGCTTTACTTAAAATTTGTAATTCCAATGTCAAATCAGTACTTTTTTAATGGGGCGGAAAAATTACTTTAAAAAAAAACTGCAGACATTCATTAACTGGTGCCTGCGCAGAATAGAGGGAATTAAATGGTATGTAGAGCTTTGGAAGAGAACTAAGCAAGCTCCAGTGGACCAGAAGGTGAGGAAAAGACGCTGGCGTTGGATATGACACACATTGAGAAAACCGGAGAACAATCTAACTAGAACGTCTTAGCATTGAAATTGAAACTCACCAGGGCACAGGAATAAAGAAAGGTTTTAAAAAATGGAGAAGGAAAGCTGGGGAATGAAGTTAGAAAGATGGGGAGAGTTGTATGTGATAGCAAAGGATAAAACCACTTGGCGTGAGTTGGATGAGGTCCTATGCTCTACTGGGGACTAGAAATGCAGAAGAAGGATTCTACAGCCCTCCCAGACAGAAACACAACAGAAGCAGAGGTGAAAAGTCATAGAGCTACCAACAACAGCCTGAAAAGCAAAAGGATATACCGACTGGCCAAAGATAATCCTAAAAGAAAAATATATCAGTTAAAAACACTGTAAATATATACATTATTACCAATGCTTTCCTTTTTTTCAGGCGGCGACACAGCATCGCTTGATTCCCTTTCAGCCATGAAGTACAAGCAACAGCGACTTAACGGCTTGGAGTTATGACTAGGTCAAATTATGAGGTACCTCCACAGAAAGGAACCAGACTAACCGGTAACGTCTCCGAACGTCAAGCTGGCAGCACTGTGATAATTGAGAAATGAGACTAAGACAAGAAAGATGCATTTATCAGCAAGTTATCTGACTTGGTGACGGCAATACGTTGCTATGAGACCGGCACATGTCAGACAACACAGTTCACATTATCCGACACACCCCCTTGCAGGGCCCCTCGCTAACGACCTACAAGTACTAATTAACTTGGCATCGTGTGAGGTTCTGTCCCTAGATAAGGCAGCAGAAGATGTAAGGTTTCAATGTTGCTGGGGCGTAGATGTTAACAAGTCTTGTCAATAGCTTAAACCCCAGGAGTTTTTTGTTTTGTTTTGTTTTTGGTATGGCTATGGCAGCAGACACATGACACATTAGAGGATACATGGCTGAGGGGTTACCGAGTCCGCAAGAAGGTCGGAAGTAACAAATTCTAATCCCAAAAATGCTGGGGTGGGGGGGGGGGGGGGGGTGGGGGGAGGGGGGTAATTGCTCCTAATATCTCGCACGGGCTCCGTTTTTTTCTGGGGACCTAAACTAGCCTCGATGGGTAAGAGCGACAACCAAGAGCACTCGTGTACAAACTGCACACGAATCATATACTCGGCAACTAACATTCGCAATGTAAGGCCCCGCTGTGTTGACTAACGTGTTAGCAACCTACAACAAGAGTCGACGGGGTCTGCAATCATGAATTGAAACTGTTCAGATAGCGATAAGATTATATACACTCTTGCTATCAACTTGTGGGACGTCGTTGAAGGAGGAGGAGGAAAAGAAGAAGAAGAAGTAAAAAGAAAAAAAAGAAAAAGAAGAAGAAGAAGTTCTCTGGTACACTGCCAAGCACATAAAGATAACGTTGGTTAGATTACATAAGACACAAGTAACTCAACCTAACTACGATGCTTCAGATATAATTAACCATAACGCTAAGGGGAGGTAATCTAAGAAAGAAAAGAGAGAGAGAAAGAAAGAAAGAAAGAAAGAAAGAAAGAAAGAAAGAAAGAAAGAAAGAAAGAAAGAAAGAAAGAAAGAAAGAAAGAAAGAAAGAAAGAAAGAAAGAAAGAAAGAAAGAAAGAAAGAAAGAAAGAAAGAAAAGAAAAGGCAAGGACGTATATCAAGTGAGTCAACTCTAGTAGCTTGAAAGACACGATCGTTTTATGTTGAACATTGGGGAAGGTTGCGTGGACAGTGGGGCCGGTTCGAGTAAACATTGGGGCCGGTTGTAGTAAACATTGGGGCCGGTTGGAGTAAACATTGGGGCCGGTTGGAGTAAACATTGGGGCCGGTTGGAGTAAACATTGGGGCCGGTTGGAGTAAATATTGGGGCCGTTTGGAGTAAACATTGGGGCCGGTTGGAGTAAACATTGGGGTCGGTTGGAGTGAACATTGGGGCCGGTTGGAGTAAACATTGGGGTCGGTTGGAGTAAACATTGGGGTCGGTTGGAGTAAACATTGGGGCCGGTTGGAGTAAACATTGGGGCCGGTTGGAGTAAACATTGGGGTCGGTTGGAGTAAACATTGGGGCCGGTTGGAGTAAACATTGGGGTCGATTGGAGTAAACATTGGGGCCGTTCTGAGTAAACATTAGGGTCGGTTGAGGAAACATTAAAGCAGGTTGCGTGGACAGAAGGACCGGCTGGAATGAACGCTGGAGCCGGTTATGTGGACAGTGGGGCCGTTTGGAGTAAACATTGGGGCCGGTTGGATTAAACATTGGGGCCGGTTGGAGTAAACATTGGGGCCGGTTGGAGTAAACATTGGGGCAGGTTGGAGTAAACATTGAGGTCGGTTGCGTGGACAGTGGGGCCGGTTGGAGTGAACATTGGTGCAGGTTGCGTGGACAGTGGGGCCGGTTGGAGTGAACATTGGGGCAGGTTGCGTGGACAGTGGGGCAGGTTGCGTGGACATTGGGGCAGGTTGGAGTAAACATTGAGGTCGGTTGCGTGGACAGTGGGGCCGGTTGGAGTGAACATTGGGGCAAGTTGCGTGGACAGTGGGGCCGGTTGCGTGAACACTGGGGCAGGTTGAGTGCTGTTGCCATTCACATAAATGGTAACATCTATCGTATTATGTACACGACTGCCAGTCACTGGTCCGGCCCTCAGTCTGGAGAATACTTGGAAACCTCAGTAAGACGATACCGGTAGTACTGAAATCCATCATTTGTACGGTTCATGACTTCGGCAATAGGCACACGGCCCTAAACACTGGCATTCAAGATTATCCCCCTCCACCGACCAGAACGTTAGTTTTAAGTCTAGGGGCCCTGGTATAGGAAAAATAAGAATAGACCCACTGCCTACCCAAACGCATGTCGTAGGAGTCTACTAAATGGAAGCTTCATTTTGAGTCGCAGTGCAACTTTCTGAAAGGCAAGGAAACAGCAGTCTGAACACAAATGTGTCAGATCTGTAAAATGGATACACACGCAATACTCAGGTAGAAGAAAGAAGAAGAAGGAAGGAAGAAGAAGGAAGAAAAGAAGGAAGAAAGAAGAAGGAAGAAGAAGAAGAAGAAGAAGAAGAAGAAGAAGAAGAAGAAGAAGAAGAAGAAGAAGAAGAAGAAGAAGAAGAAGAAGAAGAAGAAGAAAAGAAGAAGAAGAAGAAGAAGAAGAAGAAGAAGAAAAAGAAGAAGAGAAAAAGAAAAAAAGAAGAAGAAGAAGAAGAAGAAAAGAAGAAGAAGAAGAAGAAAGAAGAAGAAGAAGAAGAAGAAGAAGAAGAAGAAGAAGAAGAAGAAGAAGAAGAAGAAGAAGAAGAAGAAGAAGAAGAAGAAGAAAAAGAAGAAAAAGAAAAAGAAGAAGAGGAAGAAGAAGAAGAAGAAGAAGAAGAAGAAAGAAGCAACTTGACTTTATATGTGACACAGTAATGTGCTCTCTCTCTCTCTCTCTCTCTCTCTCTCTCTCTCTCTCTCTCTCTCTCTCTCTCTCTCTCTCTCTCTAGCTATCTCATGTAACCTGTTTGCCTCCACACAGCGTAATTCGGCAATCAACTGATTTTATTTGTTGCCTAATGATTAAATGTTTGCTTGCATTTAACAAACTTATACTGCATTACTAAGTCATGTTATAACTCCAGAACTCAATGCGGTACAATTTCATTTTCATGATAGGACAAAATGCTAACTTCACGCAGGGAGTTGCACATATTGCGCGACTCTATAGACACAGTAAATTCTACATCAAGGGATTTAATTGACATATTCTTATCCTCAACACCGTATTATACGAATTGATCTCTCTTCCGTCGACGGGCGTTGGGGAAACACCTAACCCGGTTGTCTACTTGACAAATACTGCTGTGTACACTTAGTTTAACAAATTAACACGCTGGTTTTTTTTTTTTTTGGGAGGGGGGGGGGGGGTAGAGACCACACGCTTTAATTGTTGTGGCGACTTTCTTTCTGTTCATGTGACTAACTACTACCGCACTGATAAAAGCATACTGACCTAACTCCTGTTTTCAGTAATGAACAATTTTTCATTAAATATATCAAACAATTAACTAACTGAACAAGAAGAGTTCATGCAACCATTACGCCTTCACTTGTGTTCATATATGAAATACTATTACATCATCATCATCAACAACATCACGAACCGTAATCTCTAGAGATAAGCGTAGCAGAACCTGGTTCGCCATCTCACTCAATCACTTTTAAGTTTGGAACCGGAAAGGGGAGAAACGGCGCTATATATCGATTGCTAGTACATGACGACTCCACAAGTTGACAACTTTTACATACAATTTGGGGGCGTCTCTCTAGCTTAGTTGGCTAAACCGGATTGCGCCGTGAGCGGGTGACGATCTCCTTGTGGTCCGGGTTCACTCCCGGGGGTGGGCAGAAAAGCCACATTTCTCCCAGATTTACGGTATTTACAATGGAATCAAGGCCGAAAGGTTGCGATATCCATAATACCGAGCCTAAGGGTTAACAACTCATGGCTTCTGGATACTAAAACAAACAAACAAACATACAATTTGGGCTGATGGAAATGAGAGGGAGTGGGACATTAAAGGACTCTCTCTCCCCCTATCTCTAATATTATCTACACACAAACACACTAATAATGTGCCATGCGAAGCTGCAGTAACACAATCCAGTTGCTCTACAAACAGATGCCTACTGATCATCTCCTCCACCATTCTGGTTCTAAATTCGCCCCATCAAAGCCTCCCGTGAGACAATGTGAGGACAAACAGACGCCTGCCAGGCCCTAATAAGGACAATCCTGTCTGTCTGTGATTTAACCTAACCTGCAGTAGTATTTTTACAATGGTCAGTGTATGTGATTTATTTAGCTTGCTATGAACAAACGTAAATGTGTAGCCTCTATTCTTCTTATGTAATTCAGTGTCAAGTGGAGCCAAGCCAAGACAGGTCTGCAGGGTAAGACGATCCGTAGTCGTGTGTGCGCCATACCCATCGAAGCAGACCTGATGAGCTACAGAAACCCTAACAAAAGAAGACAGCGAGGTGAGGGTGTGGAAGCATACAACAAAATAAGACAGTGAGGTGAGGGTGTGGAAGCATACAACAAAACAAAGACAGTGAGGTGAGGGTGTGGAAGCATACAACAAAACAAGACAGTGAGGTGAGGGTGTGGCAGCATACAACAAAACAAAGACAGTGAGGTGAGGGTGTGGAAGCATACAACAAAACAAGATAGCGAGGTGAGGGTGTGAAATCATACAACAAAACAAGACAGTGAGGTGAGGGTGTGGAAGCATACAACAAAACAAGACAGTGAGGTGAGGGTGTGGCAGCATACAACAAAACAAGACAGTGAGGTGAGGGTGTGCATACAACAAAACAAGACAGTGAGGTGAGGGTGTGGAAGCATACAACAAAACAAGACAGCGAGGTGAGGGTGTGGAAGCATACAACAAAACAAGACAGCGAGGTGAGGGTGTGGAAGCATACAACAAAACAAAGACAGAAAGGTACGCAATAAAGGTAGTTTTCCCGCCAAATGGATAACAGGCCATGTCATTGAACAGTATACAGCGTGCATTTGTGTAAAGATAACTGTGAAAATCGCTGCCACCTACCTGGGACAGGGCGACTTTTCTTTCTGAGTAATCTGGAAAATATCAAAGACATACTTCTACTGGACATGCGGGCAAACGACATGGTCACTGTGATCAACGATACAGTTCTTTGGAGTCGACGGATAACGGGGACATTATAAACATGTTATTTACACTAGCACGTTTTTTTTTTTTAAACATTACACGGAAAGCTGTTTCTAGCCTTCATTCTTTCAAACTAATTGACGTATCCTACTAGCAACAATGTCTCTGAAATGTCATTTTCTTCTTCAGGGCCGAGACAGTGAAATTCAAATTGTGATCACTGAGCTCCAGATCTGAACCACTGATGCTGCCGTCTCCTCTGTGCTGTATCCATTAGCACACACAAACGTTGCAGGTTTTCCGAAACATATTTCGTAGGCTTTTGAAAACAATACAGCCACGTGGAAATCAAATAGCTGCCGAAACAATTCCAACTGGTTCACTATATACACATCAATGGAAGAAGCTGTAGATTCACAAGACGCGACTGGCATTGTGTGCGGTAAGGTTTGCTCTCTTACAAATTGTAATCACCAGCTTACTACGTCGGTAAGTATTTGCAGCTGCCAACCAAGGATAGTTTGAACTCCGTGAAAGAAAACCATATCACTAGTTCGCCTATACTAGAATCACATAGTCTTTCAATATAGTTTTCTATTAGTTACATTCTCAAGTGATTTAGAACTTGCGTAGCATTTGGGAAAACGACAGACATTCCCAAGACTAGGTCCGATATTCACAAAAACACAAGATGTACACGGTTAAAACACAAACGCATGATGTAACTCCCCAACAACTGCTAACTACTGAGAGGAGCCTGTAGATCGTCCACTCCTTCAACGGCTGTGTAACTGTAGATACGTGTAGTCGCAGGAATCCGACATACTGAGACTGGCACGCACACACAGTCTCCATGGACCAAACAGAAAGATGCCACTAATTTAATAAACGACTATAACCGTGCACCCACAGGGGAAATCTAAGTCTGACCACTAACTTTCTCCTAATGGTCAGTTCACGGCGCTGTTCAATAAGGTTGCAATTAGCACTGGTAAGATTGGCGGGACCGTGAAGAATGTCCCTCCAGACAGGTTCCCACGCTGTAAGTCCTTTCATGTAAATGTAACCCAGTCCTACCTGCCTGACCTCACTCCGTAAGACTGAATACCAAAACACCGTCGCCATTCTATTTCTTAGGCACAGTGTATCGGGTTATCTGTTTTCTCCCGCCCCATTTCTCGTGTGACACTCATGCAGGTAAAGAATATGGTACTTTGCAATCGCCCTGCAAATAAAAGTACTTGAGAATATTCAAAGAAAACACAATTACCCATTATAATGCAATTTGGGGGGAGAGGAGGGGGGACCAGTATCTCCTGACACCACCAACATTTACAGGGGCAGATAGATGTGATAGTTACTGATATCTGTTTGTTTTCCAGATCATAAACTGAGGCTTTCTCGACAAAAGAGACATTAGAACATTGGGGGAGGTGGCTGTATACCGCTCTATCTATGTGCCAGTCCTGACCTACGGGTGTGACTGATGGGTAATGACAACAGCCCACAGAAGCCGTTTCAAGTATATCTTTATCTCTTACAATACAAGACACATCAACATAAAGGTTCGTCTCTCTCTCTCTCTCTCTGTGTGTGTCTCTCTTTCTCTCTATCGATATATATATATATATATATATATCTCGCTCTCTCATTGTCTCTCTCTCTGTATCTCTCTCTCGATGTATTTCTCTCTCTCTTTCTCTCTCTCTCGATGTATTTCTCTCTCTCTTTCTCTCTCTCTCGATGTATTTCTCTCTCTCTTTCTCTCGATGTATATCTCTCTCGATGTATACCCCTCACTCTCTCGATGTCTCTCTCTCGATATCTCCTCGATGTCTCTCCGTATCTCTCTCTCCGTATCTCTCTCTTCTCTCTCTCGATGTAGAGTTTTGCATGAAACTAATATTTCGACGTAAGCAAATCACGGACGTTTCATACAGACAACCCAGCAAATTCATACGCTACGTGTACTTGGAAATGTTAACATGCTCTATGCGCTCACACAATGAGAAAGTATTATGTACATATATATATATATAAACATACTGTATTGATATGCACTCATAGAAAGAAGTAGAAATA